GGGGAGAGAGAGAGGAGAGACAGCCAGGGGAGAGAGAGAGGAGAGACAGCCAGGGGAGAGAGAGTGAGGAAAGACAGCCAGGAGTGAGAGAGTGAGGAGAGACAGCGAGTGAGGAGAGACAGCCAGGAGAGAAAACGAAGAGACCGCCGGCAGAGAGAGAGAGGGAGGAGAGACCACCAGCAGAGAGACAGCCAGGAGAGAGACAGCCAGGAGAGAGAGCGAGCAACACATCTGCCGGAAGCAGAACTCCTGTACCCTTCAAGACTTATCTGCACCCTGTTTTTCAGACACCTCCTTGCTCCCTGAAATGCAGCTTCCCTATGTGCCCTGTGCCTCCTCCATGCACTCAAGTTGGAACACCAGGACCTTGTGATTGCCCCTGTTCTCCTGACCGTGACATCTTGTATACATACAGAACTTAAAACCCGAACAGTCCGGGTGAATCCTGGGCAGGTGGCAACCCTAACGCCGCCTCTCCTGGCCCTTGCTTTGGATAGTAAAGTAGCCTTGAAATAAATAGGCTGCCTTGTGCATGACATGCAATGTCATGCTACACATATGTGAATGGGGGCTAAGTGGGATACAAAGTGAAGGAAACTATGGCCAGGGGTGTATCCACCGCAAGGCAAACAAGACATTTGCCTTGAGCGGCACTTTCCAGGGAGTGGCAAAAAATGCTGGCCCTAAACCAGTAGGGATGCACCAATACCGATATCGGTGCCTATACTGGGCATTTTCATGAGTACTTGCACTCGTGAAAATGCCTGATACTAAGCGCTGATACCGACGCTTTCAATTTTCTAAAGAGAAGCGGCTGCCTGAGGTCCTGTGCTTGCTGGGGACCTTGGCAGCCTTCCTGTGAACCACACCCACCATAGACCCCGCACAGCATACCCGAAACCCTGGATACATCAGGCCACCACCCTAGAGCAACATAGAGTATGTAGCTTCATATTATTCTGCATTGCTGTATAATGTATTGCTGGGATTTGTAGTCTTCTATAGTGGTATTCTGCATTGCTAATAGCGCACGCTGTATCCAGCGACTGACACGTTACACAAAATGTCTTAAATAGGAAGGGGCGGGGCAAATTTAGATTAGGGGTGCCCAAGCTGGCTTGCCTAGGGCAGCACAAAAACAAAATACAGCACTGTCACTCCCCAGTTGGACAGTAAATTAAACCCCCCCTGAAGAGCTTTAAACATGCTCTACTTTATCCAAAACAAACAAAAAGGTCATGTGACAATTGTTGTTATGTATAGTTATAAATAACCATACTCTTCAACCGCTAAATGGGTTTATTCCTTTCACACCAACTCTTCACCTATCAACTACTCTCCACAACACATTTCCAGCCATTTAGGCCGTAAAGCGAGTGAGGACCCCGAAAACGCGGGTCTCCAGGGAGACGGGGCTGACCGTTAATGCCTGCATGAAAAAATATTATTACGTAACTTTATTTTCAGGCTGCGTAAAAACTACGTTAGCTATACAGAGTACTAGAATGCTTTTTAGTTGGAATTGGAATACTTCATGCACGAAAAGAGCTCTTTTCTAGACAGGAGCTGCCATGGAAGACCCTCCCGCCCAGCAACGTTGTGAATTCGCAGTAAGCAGTGCAATGGCGGCCGCCGAACAGGGACTGAAGGAAAGAGAGAACCCGCGTTTGGCTGACGAAGGAGAGGAGGAAATGGAGTCAGAAGAAGAAGAAGAACAGCGGCAGCAAGGAGACGGCTCTTCGGAAGAGTCTTCCTCTGGTGAGGAGGACGATAAGGAGTGTGAGGTGGAGATCCAGCGGCTGGAGGAGCAGGTAATGTGCTGGAAAGAGGAGGCGGCCACACATGTTAGGGGTGACCGCACTTATCAGGCGGCTCAGTAGCTGCAGAGTAATGGGGAGAAGAGCAGTATAACGTCGGGGGGCATTCATTCATAGGTCACGTGTTTCCTGCCTAGGCAGCGATTTTCAGATCGATACGTTTAGGGCAGCTGAGAATCCTCACATAGGGGTCCAGCTTTTATCATTTACCAACTTTTCAGAGTTCCTGGGCTATGAGGTAGTGCTAAGAGAAGCTCTGTGCACACTGATCCATAGTAACAAATCAAATGGTCACCTGTACAGATCTGATCACAGAAAAGTGTCTTCATTGCAATGGTTAAAGCCCAACCTCGGGCATAATACACTCACATGGCATGATAAGATTTGCCTCCATCTTCCATCAAATCTTAAAGTAGATCTAAAGCCAAAACTTTATTTTTTTTAGTTTTGGATGGAGTAATGGATGGTTATAACCCCTCTCAACTTTTTGTCACGCGTCCCATTGATATTTCCCTTCACTTCCTGTACAAAAGCCACAACAGGAAGTGAAAGGGAAATCCCGGTGGTCATCAGAACTAGTGTCCCCATTGGAAGATCTCCCCTCTATTCCTGTTCTGGTGATACCCCTACATTTGGGATTTTCCTTCACTTTCAGTGATAATGGTCACCAGGACAAAAAGAGGGGGTAGATCTTTCTAAAGCTGACCATACACCTATAGATTATCTCACATTTTCTAGGGTCAGATAGAAAAATCGCAACAGATTCCTCCATCTACGCTAAACCTTGTGGATGGAGGAATCTCCTACTGTGCCAAGCTTCAATATCTTGCTAGTCGGCCCTGCTGGCTGTCAAAACACCTGAACAATGTCTGCATCCAATCCAATTACCATTATTCAGGTGTTTTGAAATCCAGCGGTGCCGACTAGCAAGATACTGAAGCTTGGCCCAGCGGGAGATTCCTCCAGCCACACAGTTTAGCGCAGATGGAGGAATCTGTTGCACTTTTTCCATCTGACAATAGAAAATCTGCTGATAATCTATAGGTGTATGGCCAGCTTTACAGGGACACAGACAGCAATAAAAACTTGACAGATGTTTTAATCCCGCTCTACTAATTCCTCTCTACTGCAAAACAAAAAGAAAAGTTTTGGCTTCAGTTGCACTTTAGGGCCCCATTTCTTAAGGCTTTGGGCAGCGGCAGGGGATTTCTAGAGCAAGAATGTACGGATTCTTGTAAGTGGAATCCCAGTTGTGTCCGTACAGATGCCTGTTCAAGTCGATGACAGGCTGACCGCTGCTACGTTCACATGGTACAATTACCAGCAGTTCAGGATAGATGATTGTACCTGAATGCAGACAGATTGCAACCAGGGACAATCCTCTATCCCGAACCACAGGTAATCATTCCATGTACGATTACTTGCAGAGAGCCACTGACAGATGTTTCTGCTGTCACCCTGTCATTAACTTGGCACAGTGGTCGCATCTGGAGTGGGACACCTGGGATTCCTGCAGCAAGAATCCTTAGGTTCTTGCCGCAGGAATCCCCAGCCGCAGCATGTGGGTAAAAGACCAGCTCCCGCTGAACTTCCGTGCCTGCTCCAGCTGCAGGACTCCTAGATCTCAGGCCCTAAGGGTGCATTCACACCGAAATCACAAGGTGAATGGAGGATCCATTGACTTGCAATTGTACCGTCTGATTTCCTTCCAATCTGATGTGTTGTGATACGTTTTTCAACAGACGCTAACAGAAGGGCACCGAAAAATGAATGGGGCTAGTTCACGCCAGATCCGTTGCGTAGTACTTCTGTATGATAGGTGTAACATACTATCTGTATGATAGGTGCTTAAAAATACCTGTTGATCTATGCAGACTCAGCGGGTCAGCTGATAGCTTCCTGTTCTCTCTGTCAGTGCTGCATTCAGCTACATTGCTCCCAGCTGTCTCTAAGAACTACAGAACCCCTCCCCTATATTAGGGAGGTGAAGGGGTGGTGTTTCCAGTCCTGTGTTATGGTGACAATGCTGTTTCTTCATAGATACATTACAGTGAGTGAGCGTTGTCACCACAGGAAGTGTTACTGGCAGGATCATCAGGTATAAATAAAGGGGTGGGGGGGCTAATACAGACACCACATCTGATAAGCTGCTTTTGTAAATGATTGTTCTTGGGTTTATATACACCCCTTACGGGTCCTTAAATAGTCACTCAATTTTATTCATGTAATACAGAATATTGGGTCTCATTCACACCATAACACGCCTCCTGACCCACATTATAACGCACAGTAATGCACTGTTTTCTCTCATTTACCAGCTGTCAATCAATGCCTTTGATTACAACTGCCATGTTGACCTCATCAAACTGTTACGGCAGGAGGGGGAATTGGAAAGGCTGCGACATGCCCGTCAAAAGATGAGTGAACTTTTCCCATTAACTGAAGGTATACTTATTTTTTTCTTTATTGTGTATCTTTTAGCTCATAGATTTCTTTGATTATTGTGTAAAGTATTACTTACCGTAGTAGTGCAGAAATAAAGTGCTTAAAATGGAATTATTTCGGATTCACAAAATGTATGTAAAAGGTTCTGTACTGTAACAGAAGTGACAACATGTATTTGTACTTATGGGGTATTTTTCTATTTTCACCTATTTTGTTTTTAGCTAAGGAGACTCTAACAACATAGTAGACATTTGCTCCACACAGTACTAGCTTCATCTGAAATATCTTCTTTTTGAGCAATCACCAGCACAATTGCCCATATCCCACAAATAGACATAGTTGGTTCTTTACATAATAATATTATACAGGATTTATATAGCGCCAACAGTTTGCGCAGCGCTTTACAATATCAGGAAGACATTACAATACAATTCAAGACAAGATCGTAAGGAGGGCCCTGTCCCTGAGGGCTTACAATCTAAGAGGGAAGGGTCAGTGATACATGAGGAGGTAGCTGTGTGGGGATGAATTGTTTGAGAACGTGATGGTTGAGGTGGGATAGGCTTCCCTGACTAGAGGAGTCTTAATGGATCGTCTAAAGGCAATCTGAGTGGGAGATAGACGGACAGGTTGGGGTAAATTGTTCCAGAGGATGGGAGAGATTCTAGAGAAGTCCTGGAGGCGAGTATGGGATGAGTTGACAAGGGAGCTGGAAAGCAGGAGGTCTTTGGAAGAGCGGAGGGGACGGTTAGGGTGATACTTTGAGACAAGGTTGGAGATATATGTTATAAGCTTAGTCATAGGAGTTCAAGGGTACACACTGAGATTCTGTTTATTAAATGTAAAATGTTGATTTTTTTTTTCAGTCAGCTTAAATGCAATCCTGTTTATGAACACTTCATGTTTATATGTATAGTAAAAATTGCAGCTGTAGGTTGCTTTTCACTTGTTTTACTGCTTTACTTACAAAAACCTAGTCACACATCTCTGTAGTTTCAGTAAGAGGGAGGGAGTCCGGAGGCCTACAGCTTCTGTTGAGCTCTTTTTAGAAAATCCATAAACCTTTGTGTCACCAATCATGAGTGTCATGCACATGCTTTTTACGTATTTGTAAAATGAAGATTTTAGCCAATTTAATTTAAAATTATTTAAAATATGGATATACCAGTATCAGTATTGGTGCCGATACCAAGTGTTTGGCCGAAATGCTCCGATACTTATCACGATACCAGAACTTCCACTCAGAGGTAGATTTCCTTTAACCGGCAGTACCGCAAGGGAACATGGAGTCGGCTTCCCGGCCAATCAGAAAGCTGGGCGGTGGGTAATGATTTGCAGGCCAATCAGGAAAGCCGGGGAGCTGGTAATGACCCACCTCCGAGCTTCTTTATTGGCCGGGAAGCCGGCTCCATGCAACCTGAAGTACCAGTATCAGTACTCGTGTTGGCGAGTACCGATATTTATTTTTCGGTACTCGCTGATATAGAGAAACCGGTATCGGGGCATTCCTTATTTAGCACATCAGGTTTAAATAAAATGTTCCTAAAACAGTTTCATTTCCCTTAGACAAGTGTAAATGAAGCTGTGTAGAAGTGCCTTTGTTAATTGAGCCATAAAAAGTAATTGAGAATTCTCTTTTCCCCACCCCTACTGGCTTACCATTCCTCATTCTGCACTGTTTCTGTGTGGATATCTGTAGAGTTTTGCCTCGTCAGAGCCTCAAGCGAGTGTAACAGTGAGCAGCACAGTAGTGACATTTCCAAATCTATGAAGACTAGCAGTCAGCAGCACAGTGCCTGAGATTCACACAGCAGGTATACAGCAATGAGGCTATAGGCACAGGAGTGCATAGGTATACTTGTATGCCAGGAAATAAACTGCTTTTTTTGTGAGGAAATCCATACAAAAGGTAGATTTTTTTTTTCAGGGTTTTGTTTAGGCAAAAATAATATTTCTAGATGTCCTCTAAAACAAAGCGGATATAATTATAACTTGGGTCCACTTTGGGGTCTATGTTAATTGTGCTGCTGCACTTAGAATTACACTTTTCTATTTCTGCAGAGATCTGGCTGGACTGGTTGAAGGATGAGATCAAGATTGCAGAATCCGAAGCTTTAGGGCGAGAGACTGTATATGAATTGTTTGAAAAAGCTGTTAAAGATTATATTTGTAAGTCCCAGTTTTCTTTATTTGTCTTATTATTATTATTATTATTATTTGTATTTAT